CCTGTGGTACTTTGCCGGCCTCTAAAGGTGAGGGAGTTGGGAGCTGGGCCTCCTGGCCGTGAGCCGCCTCTTTGGACACATTGTGGGGATAGCTGCCGGGGAGGAGGAAGAAGACGGCAGCGGTGTCATGATAAGACACTTTGAAGCAGGTTGAGGAGTAGCTGATTCAAAAGGAAACGGTTGAGAGAGCTCTAGATCGAACTTCAACGGCCACAGTCACTCTCAACCATTTATGTGAGTAGTTTAGACAGGACAGTGAAGGCGTGAGAAATTAGCGGCACGTCGAAGGAGACGACTATGTAGATGACGATTAAACGCGCGGGGACTAACACTGAAGAAGGGTGAACTTTTGGCCTTCTTGATCCCTGCTAAGTGATGAGACTTCAGACATTTCCTCCGTTTTTGGTTCTTTACTGCGAAATTGGGCTATCCTGGATTATTTTGGTTGATGCGCTGATCCTTTGTATGTAGTATGGCGTAAAATAAATCAGTTGTTCGGATTGACTGTAGAGTAACATGCATTCAGGAATTTCCTTCTGCGTCTCCATTCTCCGTATGCCAGGGTGCTTGAGCTTTCCAGGCTGAATTTATGGTCTTTATGTCCTCATGTGCATATCAAGGGTAGGCGGCCATCGATCCTGACTGCCGCGTTGTGTATCCATACTCATGAATGATTTCCTCCCACTCAGTCCAACGTAAAATGCGTTGCAAGCGTTGCAGCATTACTCAACTCAAAATTAATCGCACTGCTTTCCTGGGCTCCCTAAAAACGCGCCGGAGGTTTCCAACTTGGTTGGCGGTGGAACGCTAGCAAATAGTTTTCCTCGGCAAGCGAACAAGTAAAAGATCTTTACGCTTACTGTCTCACCAGCATTTCCCCTAATGGCAACAGTAGATGCTGATGTACATGTCAAGCCGACCAAAAAGTTCGAAAATCTAATTAGGTAAAGCGGGTCTGGAATTGCAGTTAAATGGTTAGTTGATAACCAATTGAAGGGGTGATGTTCTCGTGTAAAAGTCTCGTAATTGGCGGACTAGGGGCTAATGCAGTGTGAGTGCATAAATGTGAGCGCGGAAGCATTTTGATGTGTAGCGCCTAACTGCACAGGCCACAAAACACCTTAAATCGTAACCCGTTCACTGAAAATTTGATAAAGCTCTCCATAGATCAGCAAACTTTCATAGGATGTTTCAACTGCCCCATAATTAAAAGCAGTAATTTTCGGCGTGCAGATTCGCGACTCAAAAGTTGGTGACAAAAAATCGGCCAGCAACATTCCAAGCTCGGCGAACAGATCAACGGCCACCTGGACTACCACATATTAATGCCTTAAAGCTACTAAAACTCGGATATATTTCTCCTGATTTCGCTACTTTTCACAAACCAATGCATATTTTTCACTTTACCGCTTTTTCGTCCGACCCCTTTTGAAATCGTATAGTTTCATCTGCCATTTCTACTCGTACTATGATGCAAATACTCTTTAGAATACCAAACAACTTTGGCACCCTACACCCCTAGCCAAAAGAATTCCAGTTTTGAACCCTCGACCCAACTCGAATCAAGGACTGCCACCGAAGCCCAACGTTCTTTCAGAGTTTATGTCATTCGCATTCTTGCAGCTCCGGGCTGCATGACTATTCATGCAACCCCTAATCGAACAGATTACTGCAAGTAAGGGTACTCGTGTACATCAGTAGAAATACACACCTGACCACTTGTGAGCACCACCACCAACAGGTATTCGGGCCCAAACATGTGCCAAACTACAAGCTGGATGAGGAAACGAGTTTGAGTGTGATTCCTAAGGACACAAACGGAGAACCGACGAGCGAAACTTCACTGGTATCAGAGGTTTACAGAGAACACTAGGCGTGTCTGTACTCAGCCCCAGCTTCCTCGTCACATCAAATCTTGTCAAGGCGTAAATAGGAACGGCCTCTAACCGACTTGGTCTGTACGATGGGGGACATGCCCCAACTCTTGCACAAAATCAACCCATTCTGCCCGTTGGGGCCCGACGAGGTCCATCCAAGGGTCCTCAAGGAAACGTCCTCCACACTGACAAATCATCTACACTGACTGGTGTTTCGTCAGTCGCTTGACGAAGGCCGCCTTCCCTCTGCTTGGAAGAAAGCGATTGTCACGCCAATCTACAAAACTGGTGACCGGCTGTCGCCTGGCAGCAATAAGCCTATAAGCCTCACTATCGTGCCGCGCAAGGTGATGGAACGCATTCTGAAGCGAACCATCCTAGATCACCTTACTTCCAGCAACCTGATATCTCCAGCTCAACACGGATTTCTCCCAGGCCGCTCTTGCGTGACAAACCTACTCGTGTTTATGGACAGCTTAACCCAAGTCAAGCACGAAGGACTCATATCGGATGCCATATTTTTCGACTTCTCAAAAGCATTTGATAGGGTCCCACACGTCCCGCTGCCACACAAACACGAGTCTTACGGAGTTCAAGGGGGAACCTTCGCTGGATCAAGGCGTTCATGCCAAACTGATCATTCCGAGTGAGAATAGGCTCGACCTGCTCTTCTGCAGCGCCCGTCTCCATTGTAGTTCCTCAACGCTCCGTCCTGGGACCACCCCTGTTTCTGATCTACACCAACAACCTCCAAGACGTTCTTGCGAATCCATGTTTACATGACGAAAATTGCGTCCATATGACATTTGGAGGAGACGCAGCGAATGCCCTTGTTATGCATTGTGAGAAAGGACCAGAAAACATCATGAAGATAGATGGCAAAATGTTGTTGGGCATTTGGATCCTCTCAAACTTGTCCTTCTCACTGCACCCTGAGAAGTCGGCCCAAAAGGCATTCGATATTTTACGGATGACCCGACGCACCTTCTCCCGTCTTACTCACATGGACTTCCAAATACTCTATGGGGCCTACGTCAGACCACTCCTGGAGTACGCCAACCAATTTGTCCGCCCATGATGCACGAGCTACCTCACCCTCACTGAGCTTGTCCAGCGAGCCGCCACGAGAATTGATGCCAGGCTCAAATCCGTGGACTACGAAACACCTCGCGATGCTTGATCTCTTTCCCCTGGTGTACCGTCGCCTCCGAGGGGACCTAATTCTTACTTATGCCTTGTTTGAACAAAGCTTGGCAAACAGGTTTTTCACCGTTGACCCAACAAACACACGGCGGGGATATAGCGAGAAAATTTTCGACCTCAGAGCACACAGATTCATTAGAGAAAATTTTTATCATTTTAGTAGCTGCGCGGAATGACCTTCCTCCGACGGTTGTCCAGGCTCCTTCTAGAACCCAGTTTAAAGCACTATTAGACATTTATTTATGTAAATCCTCGTGCTGGCAAGCAAACTGCTCCGCGCTGAGAACATAAAGAGCAGTGCTACACCCTTTTTCACTTGTGCCTTTCAGGTGAACGACAGCCACTGACTGACAAGAACAAAAGCGACCCGAGAAACTTGAGCAAAAGCCTCTATCCTGTGTATCAATCTGTGAATCCGTGACTTTCTCAGCACTTTTGCCTAACCCCAGCCTTTGTGCCCATCTCCTGCTGCGGGCTGTTCCGCAAACGCCGTGGTATCCATTCCGCCAATCCTTGAACCAGCGGCAATAAGCCAGCAAATTGTTCTTCCGCTCAACAGCTACAGGAGCCTGGATATTATTAGGATCTTATGTCATGTGCATTCTGACCTGAACTATCCTATTTGTTTTAGTCTCTCAATCGCGAGCGCTTTAATTTGTCGGCGTTTACGGGTTCCGTATGTGATTTCGTGTATGCAGTTTGCTGTTATGTTTGGCGCAAGATGTAGAGGTATGTTGCGAGATGATTGGGATGTTCCGCTAAGCATTGCTAGTAAACGGCTTAGTTGAGTTCTTTTGAACATTTTGTTTGGGCAGGAAGGAATGTCACCGGAATGTGTTCCAAATAAGTCGCTCTAAATCACAGCTACCGCTTACTGAGTCTACTACTGGTCGCATACATCACATATGATCTTTATATCAAGGGTGTTTAAATACACGGACGATTCCAATTTCACGCTACACCCAACATCTATAATTGTTAATGGATTTTTCATGCCTTCAACAGGCCGCAAGTTGCGTATGTCATCCGTGTTCAGGTCAAAAGATAGGTTTCTCAAGTCATAATCCGTTCTTCACTATCATCATCGACCGTTACTGTCTTCTCACCAGTTATTTTGCAATGCGTTGTTGATACCAAACAAGGGTAACAATTTCTTCAGCTATGGCCTTGATTTCTATAAATGTAAGCGGTAGAAACCGATATTACGTACCCCCTACCTACGAAGACTGCAGGCTAATATTCACCAGATGGGCTACAGAGAGTTTATAAATTTTGGGTGGCCAACACTCGGCACATCCCAACGAAACTTCATCGGTAGTATCATATTAGTTTGTATAAAGTGATACCTTGATTATTCGAAGTGGGCATACACTTAACACAATATGGTATAACGACGCAGGAGTCCAACACAGTCACTTCCCGATATGCGACTTCACATCATTTAGGTCCACTCCAGATGTTAGAATTGGATTATTAGCCTAATAGAAGATTTGAAGTAACTCCAACGACTTGGCACTCGTTCCAGCCTGGTGATACATCTCAACGCATACTACGGCCATCTACAAGGACTTGGTGCGGAATTACTATATCAGCACTTTTGTATCAAATAGTAGTATCAATAGTAGTGGGACTATGCGCACCCCGGAAATTTTTACCCGAAAACAGTTTCTGTTATGGAGATTCTTGAACTCAAACGCGCCGAAACATATTTTTGATGTTTCGTTTCTTTGATTTCTTGCTGATTACTGTTACTTCATCTCCACAATACACTATTCTCTCACAATATATCGTGAAAGTATGGCATCCATAGGCTGACTCAACGAGTCGCCAAAGTCACAGAGCTGTGGGACGACGGAACTTTTCTCTTCTATGAATTTACTCGTCAAATCATCGTACATAAAATCAGACAAAAACCATGTCGAATTGGAGGCTTATATTCAAACAAATGTCAAAAAGTAATCAAAGTTTAACCATTTGCAAAAATGGAGGCCTCTTGGAAACATGAATCAGATGAGCATAAAATAGATTCATATCGTTTTTTGTCATGTCTAGACGCGATGATAGAGTTTCAGCCAAAATTAAGGGTCAAGCTTCTTCCAAAATTTACCGATGAAACTTATGCTTGGCGCCTGATATTATGACACCATCTTCAAGCACCAAGTGATGAGCCTGGCCAACTTCACCTCACTTTAAGATTGTGGTAGGCTTTTAGTACTACAGTGGCTGGATTTTTCAATGAATTTTGACTTTGCCCCACAGATAAAGTCACCTTTCACACCACACAGTTGTACTGACTAGTTTTTCTTGTCCTTTAGTATATGACACAAGCAACCATGCTAATACGCACCTGCGACTTGGCATTCCTTGGAACGATGATAAAATATGTAGTTTTGGACACCGTATTGTGGTCCTAACTATGTTCGCCTTCTAAACGTGAATGCATCCGTCATCACTGGGTGGTATGGATTGATGGAATGCAAAGCCAGAGTATATATTATGCAGAAGCAAAACCCAAAAACCTAACAACATATAACGTGCGTGTCTCTGTTGCGTGATTACGAAGCCATGAAGCGAAAGAACAATTGTGGCTAGCGCGCTACACTGGCGTCGTATTCCACACGGTTCGCATCGAGTCATGTATGAATCTCAGACGAGGCAGCAAAGTGGAACATAGATTGCAAACCACCAATCGCACATTACCGACATTATGGGAGGCTTGCAATGCTCCCCTGGTATGGTGATTGCCCGTCGGTGTCCCATCTGCTATTAATGCTACTTTCAGCCAAGGTATTACAATGAATAATGACATAATCATTTATTGGGCATTTGCACCTGTTGAAAGAAGTTACGCCACACTAAAATGTGACAACAACCTTAAAGCACTGTTCGTTCCGTCGGATTTCTGTCGTGGCTCAAAGCTGGATGTCATTTGTCAACATCATATTCCGGATCTAGGGATGCCCTTTGGCTGTACACTTGGGTTCACGGAACATGAGACGACAGCGCTAAAGTACATGCGCATTTTATTGAAAATCCAGCTGGCTACAAAGGCAAGAACTAACTTATGCCTTATCTTTGTAGCGGAAATGACGGCAACCTATGCGTTTATCTACTTTGATGTTAATGAATGAATATTGGTGCAGTAGTACTTTTATAGTCGCGGTATTATTGACAAAAACGTTGCGGATGAGTTTAGTCTAATTCAGTTTGTCTAACAAGCCATTCATCAAAGTGCAATAGTCCCAGCTTCCGCAGCTTTATTTAGCAAAGACAAGGAGAGCGGGGTATCAGAGCCATGTATTTGAGGCCATCGTTTAGTAAATTCACTGGAGTCAAATGATTCCACTTGCCAGGTCTGCCACGGAGCAGGAATTACATGACATAAGACCATCACTCAGTGAGTGACACGACCATATCTGTAAGGACCACTGACCATTGATTTGTTTCGCCTTAGGGTCCTCGTTAAGTTGAGTAGAAAATGCTTGTGTGGTTTGCTACAAAGCCATAGAATGGCAGCCTCTGAGCCCTGACAATCGGAGGTATACAAGACAAGTGATCCTCTGGAATACGAGATGCATGAAAAAAAACTGTGTAATATGTGGATTGTGATCTATCGACTGACTTCCCGTAAACTACCTTAACTACCTCGGCATTGCCAATCTGATGTTTCAAGCAGACCCGGCGCAATGGTCCCGTATGTAGCGACCATGTCTCTGATTCACAAATTAAGATAGATCGGATCGAAGTAAAGTGAACTTCACCAGTGACAGTCAGGTTGATGTCAGGATGGCGCCGTAAATTCCGGAAGTTGGTAAACGTTATCCTGGCCTTCCCAAATCAGCAATCGATTACTTTTTTCACCAGTTCGACAAAAGTTCTGTGGCAGCCAAAAAACAAATATATCTACCACATTTGTCAGTTTTCTTTCAAGCATGAGGTGTTGGTTTGGTCGCATCTAGTTCCTCAGTAACAGCCCACAGGCGTGTATAGTGTGCCGTAGAATTATTTAATGTGATACGAGAAGAATAACATCTTCGGCCTACTCAATGCCTATAAGAAAACGCTCCGAAAGTATCACGATTTTTGGAGGAGTTAAAGGCAGATGAAGAAGAACCAAGCATTGTGTTGATTTTAAAGATAGTGAGGAAGGGAGACACAGAAACACTCTACCTTCACAACTGAATGTTATGGAATCGAGGAAGAATTTGTTGTAGACAAGTTTACAGCAGAAGGCATGTAGGGCTTTTACAAGGGTAGAGGATTCAAACGGAACAGCATTCAGCAACACAGTTTCTGTTAATCAACGGTGTCACAAGATTGAGAAAAATTGCCGGCCGTCGGAAAAAGTGACAGTTTCATTACTCGTCAAAATATGAAGATATAATGAATGCAAACCTGGCTAGGGAGAGACCCGATTTGCTTCTGGTATGTCTCCTAATGATTGGTCAAACTGAATGAGGTGATAACGGCGCATCATTGGTCTTATGCTCACAGTTTAATCGCAAAACCTTGTGGCATGCATAAGAAGCTAAATTGAATTTACAGCCCGCCTTTTTATAAACGAGACTGTACATTCTCTTAGAACATTCTGAGGCTGACTGACAAAACGTGAGTCCATCTCATTCGGTCTTTAGGCATGCTTGTCACGTCGAATACAAAAAACCTGCAGACATGTTCAGTGTCACATAGACGGAATAAAAGGTCACTTTTTGAAGCCAGTGGTATAGTTGTCTACATGTAGACCAACAACCTAGAGAAAAAACGTACCCGTTGTATTCATGATTTGCCAGGAAATGCATAATTATGGCTTGGGCCAGCAAATTTTATTTGCTATTCTATTGTGTTATCAGTCAAGCTTTCACAAATCTGCCTTGTGGTTATATGGTTTTGAATCGCAATTTGCATTACCTTGGTTATTTGCTAACGTATATATCACCTGATTCGTTACTAGTTGCTATTGCTTTCAGCGAGATTTTTGGAACACAAAACATATAATCTAACGAACGGTACCTGAAAACGTGATTCGAAACCACTTTTTCTCATTGCGCATAATTTCTCCATGCATCGACCGAATATGAAGAAAACAGGGAAAACGCAAACGAAAAGGTCATCATTATCATGTCGCTAACATTGGCATGTGGATCTGGAAGGTATAATCTGTGGTAAAATGACGTATAGAACTGAAAACTGCCTGAGTGAGGTGAAAAGGTTTTATTGGAGGGTTCAAGTCGCCTTATATGATCTTTGATAAAATTAGGAGTACGGATACTTACACGTAAAAGTGTTCTCGATTTCTACGCAGGGATCTTGCAAGAGGCTATTCACAGTCAATCGTGTACCAATTAAAAGAAAGTCAGAAAGGTTATGAACCTGATTTTGAAAGGCATCTACAAACCATAACCAACAAATTCGGGTCTGCCTTTAGCCTTTCCAGGGATGCGGAGACGCCGAAGAGGCGGTTATTAACACCCAAGTATATTCTTGCGCCCACTTATGTTCAAAGTATATCCTTGTAGTTTTTCCAATCTTAAGGAAGTAGGTCTGCTGCATTCCTATGCAATGATTTTCTGGATCCCTTTGAGAAAGCCAACTGTCTTTGAGTGGTGCCAGAGAAAGGAAACGCACCGGGTAGAACGTCTACGGAGAGTTTTTACCCTGGGCGGCTGGTTACTATCACATTACTATCGTTACTATCGTCGTATCTGCTTTTGCAGTTGAAAGCATTCTTGAGTATGCATTAACAAGCAATTTCAGCCTACCACTGTTGGGGTAGCAAATATCCACAATATACTGGCATTATGACCAAAAGGCAGCTTAGTTGCTCATTTGAAACGCCGATCTATTTGGTTTTCAACTCTTAATGAGGGCGATTTGCTCGCCAGAGTAAAGATCAGCAATAACTCTTTTTTTGACATTTTTCTATCCCTGGGACTTGAAGTTCCCGGTTGATCTGGCGAAGCACATACCGGTCTGTTGAATCTGGACGTTAGGGACAACTATTTTAATCTGCGTCTTCCAGCGAGTTTTAGGGTAATAGATGATCCATAACGCAGTGTCTGGAGGTCCCGGGCTCTCCAAATACTTTGCTTCTTTATGCCTCTATGTCGAAGTGTCGGTCTTCAACTGACTAGAAGATCTTAGGCAGTGAGTAAAAGGGTAAAATGCCCAAAAGTCTTGTTGTATATATTTCAACTTCATGATGGTGTATTTCTTTCGGTTCTACCGTTTCTGGAGGACTGTTAGCATCAAAAGTTGTCTTTTTCCGTAAGTCTACTTCCATTTTGAGGAAATTCACCTGTTCGGCCTTTAAAATTTCCATTAAAATTTCCGCATATTCCCGGATGCTGGTGAAAATTACCTAAAATAAAACGTCCGTTGTAGAAAGAATTTCAGAGAAATAGAACAGAGCTGGACATAGGGGATTTAAATGGATTATTGAATGCACCAAAATAACACTGACAGGACTAAAAACTTGGTGTTTGTGACAAAAATGTTTCTTGTTGGCACTAGCGTGTACGACTTTCAGTCTCTGAAAAAATGTAAAACGGATGCCAAATGCGACAAATTAACTGGCTGTATTGGCTACTAGCACCAGTTTGGTGAAAATCTATCTGACATAGCTAAAAATAATCTTATTGGTATAATTTTCTGCTCCACAGCATTCCTCTTCTTTCCCGGATGCAAATTCGTCTTCCTAATCTTTGCCATTGCTTTCATCGTCACATGGTCCGTGATCAAGATCTTAGAAATTCAAAATCCCGGTCAAACGGAACTGCTAAAGCTTATACAAGTGCCTTATCGCAGAAGATTTGGATCCCACAAATCCAAAGTTCCGTTGGAACCTGGTCGATTTCCCTTCGTTTTTTCTGAAGCCGCCGAAGTAAGCCTCACAAGATCTTCGTCGAATCGTGATTTTTCTCAGGTTAGTAAACTGTACCGCGCAGCTGTCTATAGAATAAATGTATCTCCCATTGCCAACGATGCTTTGGATTTTAGGTATATTACGTTCTTGTATCTTAATCAAAGTCTGCAGGTATAAATTTACTTTCTCCTCTGAAATTTACTATTTCCTCTGAAAAACCTTATTTGGAATGGGTTATCATTTTGGACAACTATATGTAAGTTCACTAAATGCAAATATTCTGACTTAGTCTGAAACTTTGTGAACTGGTCAGGCTAAATGACCATCTCTCTGGGTTCGTAATGTCAAATTCGCTGTACCGTCTGTCCTCTCGGGGCACTTGATAAACAAGAAGTCATGGGTTCAGAAACCTAATTAGATACTGCTTGAGAATTGTGATTAGGATTTCCGCATCGCGTCTTTAGAAGTATGGACTTCAGAAAGTTTCTTTTTGAAAGGACACCATCACCGTTCTCAGTATCATTATATATTGAAACTGACTAACCGCAAATTTCTGGGTTGCCATTCTCACAACTTGGAACATATTGTATTTTTATGCCAACGAACCATTTAGCCAGGTGAACTAATTCCCATACTGGGGATGGGTGATGGCGCTATGTATGGTCTTGCATCCAACCGTTACGACACTTACTTACTTCTACGGGATTTAGTCCACATCCTCTATAGGTAGGGACAGACGGAGCCAAATACGCAGCATCAACCGTGTTGCTTTCATGTAATTCCTCCAGTGGCCACAAAAATTCCGTACCTTTTTGTCTTCCAGTCAAAGCAGTACAAAAAATCTATTGATTGGTACCCTAGTAAGGAGGCAGTGCTAATAGACAATGAGTTTGCCCATACCTTCGTTTCATCATGTTTTGATGGAGTCTTGTATCTCTGTGTTTCGGAACTTTGCTTTGCTTATTTGCGACTGACTGTACATTTTTCCGTCTATAGTTTCAGATTTTTTGAAATTTTTCCTCAGATCATGCTCGTTAGAAAACCCTTACTGCAGGTAATTTCAAGTTCAGCATTATCCTAATCACAGTGCGACTGTCCTTTAACACCGCTGCAGCTAACCGGCCCCTGCGAGTAGCATGACAGTTTTGCTCCGAAAGAGCAACAAAACCGAACGATTCAGTTCACTTTCATTTTTTATTGACGATCGGTTCCCCTTTGTTGGTTAATCAATATCAAGTGTTACCGAATGGATAGTGGCCGAAATGGACATATTAGGTCTGAAGTTTGTAGCGTCCATGAACGCACAACGGATGGCAGGTGTTAAGTCTTCCGATTGTTGATTTGCTGAAGCAATGCTGTTGTCAACGACTAAATCACTGCGTCCCAATCCTAACTTTCAGAGCCAGTGCTGAAGTCCGGGGACACAGTGCCGTATGCCGTGTATACCGTAACTTTGTTCTGCAGTGCTATCCGTCATCCCATCCGTGCACTCTGGCGTGATGAGCCAGTGACGGGCTTCAGAATTGAACCGATTGTCAATCTAAAAACGCAGCTCTATGAAATGAGCCCGTGAGTAGATGCAAAAGATATATGGAAATGCGAAAATTAGTTACTGCTAATCTAACTGCCATCAGCGAAGCAAGCACTGATAACTGTTACTTTCTAGTTATAATTTACATACCTTTTGTCACAAAGCTGGATTGTCCTTGTATAAAGGAGGTTTTTACAGAGGAACTTCACGTTTATTTTCACGGTAAAAAGTCGTTTTTATATCACTGATAATGCTTTTATGAAGAGGTATTATCCACATGAGGACACCACATAGCGGAAAAGCCTATACTCTTACGTCCTTAATAAAACGAAAGCTGTAGCAACATTTGCCCCTTGTCGTTCCGAAGTCCTTACCAAGGAACTACGCTCAAAAACTTGTTTACTCGGGATAGCTAGTTTACTCAAAATAATGGTTGTCTCGTTCAGCCCATTGGTTTTTCGGTTACTTATTGGTAATATGTGTGCTTTGGGTTCCTTTTATTCCCAGCTACCCTGACCATGTTGAGAATTGTAACTCGTCTCTTTGCAGATTCTGCCACTCAGATAGCCGACTCAGTGAATCGTACAAGTAGTGGCCCAAAAGACGTCCATGGTGAGCGAGTAAACACAGAAGCACAGCCAAGCTAAAGGCTGACCTGAGATAAGATACAAATAGTCACATGCGTCCTTGCAGGAAGAAATGGGTTTTGCAACGTAACCCACGAAGTAATCCAGACATCCACAAGACATAAAGGAAACTACTCACAAGGTTGCTGAAAACTCTTCAAAGTCCCTAGAACATCTTACCTCCGGACGAATTACTTTATTATCCTACCGATCTAAGTCGAGAAAATCCACCAGTAAGGGGCACTGGGAGACGGACTTCGTGACCTGACCCTTAATTTTACATGCGCACAAAAAGGGCCTCTTTTGGTCAAATAACTGTTTCAGTTACCAAAAAACAGGAAAACTCAGAAGGCAATACGGTTTGTGTGCACACTAAGGGCTTCCTACTTCTGGTTTCACAGCGGTAGGTTTTGTGACCTTGTGAGGAATAAACATGATCAAGGGAGTTGCCTCCAGGATATCCCCTTCCCAAATATAAACCCAAAAATCGTTGGAATAAGATGTAATGTCGAAAAGCATGAGAAAATGTAAATGGACCAAGATACCGTATCATTAAAGCAACTAGAGAGTGACGGTAATGCTGTCAAAAATACATCGTTAAAGTTCATGAACCTCACTGATTTTACATTTCTTGTTTACCTTCAATTTCTATTGAAAAATGGACTCAATTTACCTTCAATCCACAGGGAGTCTGCCACATCCGCACCCACTATCTCCTCCAGGAGTGCCAAACAAGTGGAAAAAGTTACAGTCACAAAAACGAACCCGTCCCACTGAGTGTATGGTCCTCAACAGGTTCAAAACGATTGGAGAACCGGACACTTTGACTAGCATGTGTAACATCTACCCTACAAATTGAAGACTCGTCGGTGTAAAAGATGCGAAACGGCACTTTATCACATTTGATCGGCCATTACGCTAACTCCAACATACCAGTCAATTTTTATTCCACTGCTCCGAATTTCGTCCAAATCCTTCTGTATATATTTCCAAATACCCCCTATTTTTCGAATACTACTCAGTGGCTCAGTCCTACGAGAATTTGTAGGCCACCTTCGACACATTTGGCGCCTACAGTGATGATCTTTTTATCCATATAGATTTTTGAGGCTGCAAATGCCCTAACGTTGAAAGAGAACACGTACAAGTATACAAATGACCGCTTATATTTTAATTTTGCATTTTCATGAATATTTTTTACATGACAATATGGCAGGAATCGGCCTTTTGAACAAAAGTTGGTCGTGAGCACAAATTCTCCTCCGCAAACGGTATCCTCATTATTGAAACGACTGTTTTGTGGGGCAGTATTTCAGTTGTTAGTTTCCTGACCTATGGATTGATAATTATAAGATTCTTCATCAAGACTACTACCTTATTTCTAAAAGTGGTAAGTCCACTAACAACCTGTAATATCCACTTCGAATTTGTGTAAAGGACAACATGTTTGGGTAACAGTTCCCAAGCACCGCGCACCTCAGGGCCATTGCAAAAAGTACTACACAACCCACAAACTCTAACAACATATCAACCAGTCGCACCGACAGCCTCCAGCCATTTCGTAATCTCATTCATACCGCTCGGATAGGTCAAAAGCTGGCCAATTCTCTGGTTCCGTCACTCTGAAATGGGCAGAGAAAACAGCACCATTTTCGACAAACGATGGTTTGGCATGCTCAAAACATGGCATAACCAACGCAGCTTCTGGTGTTGGGCATATTTTCCGATTGTAGTCTCTATTTCACAACCGAAAATTCGCTTTCTCGTTTCCTCATGACGGATTCGCTGACATCAACCTGCATAAGCCACGGTTCTAAGACAACGGCTGTCGAAGACCTGAAGACGTTTCAGGTCAAGTCTGACAGCCGCACAACAAAACAGCTCGCACTGTAGGATTGATACACAGGTCCATTTAGATTCAGGGATATACCACCTTGATGTAATAGGTGTCTCAAATTAGCAAACACAACCCGAGCGCTTCGGATTCGTTCACTGACTTCATCTGCCACACTGACGACCTCGTTCCAGTAAAACTCACACCTGATGATGGAGCAGAAGACAATACCGGTAAATTCGTCTAAGATACGGATCTGTCAATCTGTCAGTTACCAGGTGATTTGTCCGCACCTTGCGCGGCCCTGTAAAACGAAGGGAGAAACGACTGCGGATCAGCGCACCGTCGGAATCCACAAATGTGTTCCAAAACGGGCGGCAGTCAGCTTTTGATCAGCGTTATCTGTAACTGACGACAGTGTGATCAATTTGAGTTAGTAACCGGTACGATGTTGGAGAACACAATGTGTCCAGACGACCTCGGCTACTTCGGAAGTCATTACTGCATGAAAACGGCCTGCGGTCAGCACGCTGCTGAATCAGTCGTTCACCACTGCCTCTGCGTACTTAGTATAATCCATTTCGACCATGTAATCCAGTCTTCGACTAGCTAAGCCTGCTCATTTATGCATTCAGCTATCCTGGAACTACCCCAATTTCCGGGTTTTTGGCTCGCCGCAACATGGCCTTCAAGGCGTCATAATACTTGTGTTTGATGGTGTCTAAGTCATAACTGGTTGGGGCGTAATCACACATTAGAAACAGGCACCGATCAACTTTCCGCTTGTGCGATTTCCTCACACACGTTGCCGGACGAACCACATAAAGGCCACTATCACCGGGTCTCCAGTCTAGCTGGGATCCTTTAGCCCGGTGACTTAGGACGATACCGACCCCTGCACATCCTGCCGCAGCGAGCTGTTGACCGCCAGAGCTGTGCAGTCGGAACCGAGTGGGAAGTGATGCAGTGGTTAGCTCAACCACTGTGCTTGTATCTTGAATTCTTTTTCTTCTAATGTACAGAACACATCAATGTCAAGCAATTCCACCGTGAAGGCAAGAGAAGTTTGTTGTTCTGCAAGCTTCCGAGTGCGGGCAATAAAAGCAGTCAGGTAGACTGATTTTAAGATAACTGAGACTGTCATCTTCGGAGGACACACAGATGTTGCTTGCAAAACCGATGCAGGGCTACCAGTCCCCATTGCTGGGCCTAAAAGAAGAGTTGTCAATGGGGTGGAGATAGGAAGAAGGGTGGCGTCAGCAGTAGTCTGTTTTCGCTTATCCGCACTTCTGTATGCAACGAATGAGGCGACCCGGTTGATGACACCACACGACAGCCTACGTGGTCCGATTTTATTTTTATATGTGCAATTCATGTTTTTGTACGTGAGCTAGGATACAGCCAGGGAGCCCAGTCCTAGATGGGAGGACAATTAGGGTCCTCAACCAAAGCCTTTGGCTGAAAAGCCCAACCGCAGGCAGCGATATTTGGCTGGTGTCTCCGTGAGGACTGTGTTCGTCAGATCTCTAAGCACCAATCAACCTTGTATTAGAGACCCTTCGAGTGGCACATATACTCTTAGTAAATCTCAATGAGCCGCGGAGATACATAAGGTCAAGTCTCTTCATGACGGATACACTGTACTGTCTCTCTTCTAGAGAGACCATCATCAGTCATTTTGAGAAAGCCACAGAACGCTTGAAATTCAAACGGTTGAAAGGGAAACATTTTGCCTTGTCGTTAACTATATTTATCTTGAGTGGACGGAGAAGCTGAGTTGTATTCTATTCTCAGGAACATTGACAATGTATTGTGAGATCAAGCGATTCACGCTGAGGTGGATATCGAGCAAGGCGTTAGTCCTGGGAAGGTCTGTTCACCCGAGATCATGTTCTGTATCACAAATGTGCGTGACTGTTTCACGTGCCAAAGAGGGTACCAAAGAGTCATACTTTTTTTGTGGAACTCATTGAGTTGTCAACCAACAGGCATGTCCCAGCACAAATCAGTGATACAAAACAGGGTAGCCCAGGTGCATTACCTAGCTGTTGGTTTGTCCAATAAGGTTAAGAGTTGCACTTTAAACATCCTATCACTTGTTACAGGGACAATCGGTGCACTCACAATACCTAGAGCCGAGGCCATATCTTGAGTACTAAACATACCGCTCCAAACAAGCATTGTAACCTTGCAAATATAGTCCCTTTGAACTTATTTCTGCCGCTTCTTAGTCTACTATGTTGTTTTTAAAGCAGTCTTAATCATCCAGTTATCATGATCAGGATTTGCTGCTGGTGTTTATGGCAGTGACTCGGAAGACCTCAGTTTTATTGGTTATCATCGTAGTTTCGTTACCTTTGATGTACTCTGCTTATCCATATAGGAGAGATGAGGATTTGGGGGGATATTCAGTGAAGACTCTTGGGACTTGGACCATTCTAACGTCCTTCTTATTGTGAAAGCCACACGAGTGGCTCACTCAATACACTCGCAGAAATCGGCTATTGTTCTGCGTGGCAGATGCGCACGCACTCCACTTGGTAAGAAAGTTACTCCGTGAGCGGAAGTCTTAGGTTCGAGACCTTCTCGTCCGGCCTGGTGTTTTGTGTTTGGATCAACATTCGATACCTCCGTTAATAACGCCTTGGCTGACGTAGTCTATGCGTACTCGAAATGTTGCTCATGTGTATCCACCAGAGCTTCTTGCTAGCACATTAGTTGGGTTAGAGGAACACTGGCTGAGACAGTAACAAACCCTCGCTTATCTGTTTGGTCAAATCACTGTAAGCTATTGATAGCAATAAAATGCATTCTAGTTTCGAATTACACTAGGCTGTCACATTAACTCATCATTCATGGCTTTCTGCTCCTAAACTAATTTTTACTACAACCCTGATCGTCACTTCAGTTCATGTAGTCGCCATTCTCCTCTTGACATATGTCAGAAGGAGGGAAACAGCCAGTGAACGGATATGTTGAAAACTTGCCCCTGCGGTTTTCACGGTGCTGTCTTGAACGAATTGGAAAGTGGCAATCAGTGCTGTAGCGAGAATACACAAAATGCTGAAACCAATTCCGGTAGTAACGGAGAACGGACTGAACCCAGCAGACTGAATAACACAAACAGTTTTGAGGAAACCAAAGATTGTCAAAATAATACCTGATAATTCACTAGTAGGCCAAAGCAAGTTGCTACGTTAAGCGGAATCTAGCCTGGATGAATGAGAGACAAGTCACCGGCTGTTCTTGAATATCTCAGGTTCCATTCAACACAGAATCAATACGTCTGGGAAGTATATTACTTAAAACAAAGCATCGCGTTTTTTCATTAGATGAAAAGTTCAGTTTCCGTGCTTCTGTTCCAAACGTTAGCAAACCTATGCGCCTTATCAGCGAACAAATGTGGAGTTGCGTAATCTCACATCCTAATTAACAGCAGTTGTTTATTTGGTGCACTAACTATACCAGCTTCCAAATAGCTTCGTAAAATTTTAGGATATTGGCCTTTATGATGGTAAGTAAACGATTGGTTGCTAAACCCTTACACACTTTTAGTTTCAGTAACATGAGGACTAAAATATATGGAGTGGAAAATCTCCAAATTGCATAAAGAGACTGGACAAGGATCTTATGGGCAATTTTGCCGTGGGCTCATGATTAGGCATCCATGACTACAAGATCAGTTTTCCAATCATTTCAATTTGTCCATGAGTTCTTACCTGTATGGCTGCCGCAGACGAGGGCGTTCGTGTTGTGGGGTCGCAGGACCATCACCTCTGCGTTACATGCACACTCAGCATAGGGCAAGCAAGTTTCAAGAAGCGCTAAAAAATCGTTAACCTTATTCAACCTGAAAGTCTGAAGCTGACAAAAGCCTGCGTTTCTGCCCAGCCGTTAAGTTTGTTGAACACACCAACAGAAGGGCCTACGAGCTCTTCAGGGTTAGTTAGATAATTTATCTGTTTCGTGAGATTTGATTTCACAACTTCAACAGTTACTCCGCCTTATGACAACTGCTTTCACATGAACATAGACGTCGCATTCATGGTCGCCAACCCCAGCCGATCTGATGACTTAATCTAGGGTGATGAGTCACGCACCTATACACATTTGAAAAGTAATCTACATCAAATGAACTTAGAGACGTAATGGGGATCAGGCAGTGAGGTACACAAAATTTAGTTATTTTTCCTTCAGTCAGAAACCCGAGGGTAGGCGAAGAAAGCTAAGCCTATTAGAACATTATCAACCGATGGAGGACCAATGCCCACATACCACGGCTCGAGCTGAATGCATCTGGTGAATGACAGGCCAAGAAGTTGACAACTAAATAAACTGCTTGAAAACATCCCACCCGGTGGTCTAGATGCCGATTTTATTTACACTAGCTTTTCAGCAGCATTTTTGACCGAACTACTGACAGGGAGTGTCCTGGGCCTTGTTTTGGGGACTAGCCGCAACACATTTTGTGCATGCTCCGCTGCAGCAGCTTCCTCCATTCTTTGAGTTTACCGGTCCGACCAACTTCCTTATCCACACAACGTATGGCGGCTGCTAACTTCAAAATTGCCATCTTCTACAATGACCGCTTTCAGAGCAGCTCATTGTAGGTGTTGATACGTTTCCTTCTGATATGGTTAATGAAGAGTTTCGACTGCTGACGTGCTGAGAACTGTGACATGCGGAAGGGTGGTTGTCACATGGGGCGGGAGTGAAAGGTCAGACAGAATAATAAACAAGGGTAAGAGGATCTAGTAGATTACTCTCCATTATTGGACCCCGCTTTATCCAGTGAATAAAATGCCCCTACTGATGTCACTATCTGGCATGAAGATAGTCCTTGGTTATACATGTACTAGAGTACTACAAAAGCCCCTCAACCTAGGGTCCTTAACCAAAGCCTTTGACAAAAAGTTATGTGGCAGTGGTTGTCATAAGACCAC